AAGCAACAGCAACAGCAGCAGAAGCCGCAGCCGCAGCCGCAGCCCCAAACCCAGCCGCAGCAACAACCACCTCAACAGCAGCAGCCCCAGCCCCAGCCCCAGCCCCAGCAGACGACGCAGCATGCTCACCCCGCACAAAATGGTATTGCTGGCAACATTGCCAATGGGGTCCCTGTCGGTGGACAAAGTGCTATGGCTAATAATATGCAAGGAGCTGCGCAACCTCGCTTCCCGGCTCAAATGTCTCAAGCTGCAGCCGCCTCGTCTCCTGTGATTCGGCAAGGAACACCGCTCAATATGTCTTCGCCGATGGTCGGTAGTGTGCCTATGCAACAGACCAACTCCAACATTGCGACTAGCCCCCCTCGGCCGCCGTCTGCCGTTCAGAATGGTCAGATGTCCGTACCCATGGCGCATAACATGTCCGCTAGGGGCAGTCAACAGAGTCATCCCTCGGGCACTCCTCGTATGCCCAACTCGACGCCTAACGTGCCTCACGGTACACCAATTAATCGACAAACCATGGCGGCCACTCCGCGGATGACACAGGCTAGCCCGCCTCCCAACATGATGGCTCAGAATTCTCAAATGGGCCAGGCCATGATGATGAATCAACAGGGCATGAACCAACACAATCCGCAGATCTTTGCGCAAATGGCAGCACAGCAAAGAGCCATTGCACAACAGCAGCAGATGGCGGCTATGCAAAATGGGGGTGCAAACGCGGGTATGAATACACAGGGAATGACACCTCAGCAACAGCAAGTGATGCAAATGATGCAGAGGCAATTGATGTTGCAGCAGCAGCAGCAGCAGCAAGCTCAGCAGCAACAACAACAGCAGCAGCAGCAACAGCAACAAGGAGGCATGATGACACCCCAGCAGCAGCAGCAGTTTGCTCAGCAGTACGCGCAACTGCAGCAGAACATGCAAGGCAATCAGATGAGGCAGATGCCAGCGCAGATGCAGGCACAGTTACAACAAATGGCACGAATGGGACAGATAAATAATCCAATGCAGAGACAGGTTAGCGGACAGATGATGAACGGTAGCAACGCAAATATGCAAGCCTTTGCTGCTATGCAAATGCAACAAGCGCAGCAACAGCAGCAGCAACAACATCACCCGCAGCAACAGGGCCAGGCTCAACCGCAGCAGATGGGCGCCAACCCTCTCCAAGCCCAGATACAAATCAATGCTCGGCAGATATATTCTCGCCTGATGCAGGGTGCCGTCGCCAAATTTGGCAGCGCTGAGAACGTGCCACAGGACACACTTGATAAGATGAAGCAGTCCTCCTTATTGCAGGCGCAGCAAATGCTTCAACAAAGCATGGTACAACGGCGAGCACAACAGCAGCAAATGATGCTGCAACAACAGCAGCAACAAGCTGCGATGCAAGGGATGGGCGGCATGATGGGACACCCAGGCATGTAGAACAATGCAAAAAGATGCCCAACGACACGCAGTAAGCGACAGGCTATGTGATGGGACGGGGACGAAAACGAAACACCTGGCGGGCTTTTTTTGTGCATTTTTTGACCAAAAGGGGATGGGTACTGGAGTTTATGGTACAGCCGATGTCACACTATTTTCCCATTTTTGTCTTTCTGTTTTGTTTTCTTCCGCAGAATTGGGCGCGGACTTTGAATACCCCATGGATTTGATTTGAGGTTTTGCTTAATGTACTGAAAGACGGAACAATGGGCGCGGGCGGATGACCACATGGATTTGAGACTGGCGGCGTACTTTCGTGTTAGCTCCAGCATGGCGTTTACCTGGCTTCACCTGGAAGGTGGAGATGGTTGTTTTGTACATTATACATTGTTAGAATATGAATCATGGTTACGAAAGTGTTGATTTTATATGGATACGAGTTTATTGTAACACAGCTGGGCCATTTCATATTCACCGTCCTCAAGGTCTGGACGTAAGGTGTCGGGGAACGGACAGGTGGGTCACGTGTCTTCTCCACAGACGCACAGAAGGGTTCCGTCATGACACAACCGCCCAGACGCCAAGGACGGAAGCTGCTCAAGTGGTCACGTCCAAGATTTGGACTTTGGATTCGACCACGTCCAGCAGCCCTGGCCTAGACTACAGCTCAACGTGACACATCTCACCCGGCCTCCAGGTGGATAAAGTGGTGCATTCTCGTCTCTCTTTTACTATTCTCTTTCTGAACTTTGCATAGCGACCGACTCTCCGCTCCCAATCGTCCCTTTCGTACGCTTTCCCTCCCGCGTCTCGTCGGCATCCTCGCTGTCCTCGTCCGTCTCGTCCGTCTCGTCCGCCTGAAAGTCCGCTCCATCACCAACTAGATCCGATGCATCCGCCACAGGTATCGGCAGTCTTGCTGCCTCTCCTGCTGGCACCTCTGTCCAGCATGGCCATGCTGCACTGCGAAAATATTCTTATTAATGGCTACAAATTCAACCTGGAGAAGCTCAAGGGGCCGCATTCTGTCGTCACCTCCAAGTACGACTCGATGACGCACACGCATCATAATACAACCTATACGTTGGATGTGTGCCAGCCGCTGAAGAAGAGTGGCAAGAGTAAATCCACGGAGGAGTGCCCTAATGGCACAAGAGGTACGCTGTGGCTCCCTGTGGGAACTGACCCGGGCAGGGTACACGGGGCGGCTGTTGTCGAGTGTGATTGCTGACAAAAAACCCCCGGTGTAGTGTGTGCTATTTCGCGATTTATTCAAGACGATGTTGACAAGGTCGAAACGGTTACTGCCATCGCCGGCAGTCTGGAGAATGTGGGCGGGTCCCAGTTTGAGTACGAAGCGACGAGGTTGAATGGCAGCGATTCAAACAGCGATTCCAAGAAGCAGGGCTTGCGGCTGGTGCTCAAGGGCGGCAAGCACCCCCTCAATGGGCCTGTCAAGGATCGCCGCGAGCAGAAGGCTGTTATCGAGTTTCTTTGCGACCCGGACAAGGAGGGCACAGAGGGCGAGTGGGAGTCGGAGGACAAGTACTCCAAGCTTCGCCGACGTGAGGACAAGAAAGAGGACGATAAGGAGGGCGACGGTGACAAAGACGACTCTTTTGCGGAGCACCAGCTGAAAACCGACAAGGCTGCGCTGCTCTGGGAGAGCTACGGACCAGAAAAGGACGCCGATGTCCTGCGACTTACTTGGCATACCAAGTATGCATGCGAGAAGCGAGACGGAGACAATGACAATAAAAATGGTGACGGTGGGGACAGCAGTGCTTCTTGGGGCTTCTTCACCTGGCTTGTCATAGTGTGAGTGGTCCAACCAACCCTGGCTTTTACGTTTTTCCTTGCCAATCTGCTAACGGTATATGCAGTGCCTTCTTGGGCATCGCTGCATATCTCATCTTCGGCTCCTGGCTCAACTACAACCGCTACGGTGCTCGGGGATGGGATCTACTCCCGCATGGTGACACCATCCGCGACATCCCGTATCTGCTGAAGGATTGGACGAGACGCGTGCTGAACACTGTCCAAGGCACAGGAAGCCGCGGAGGGTACAGCGCCGTCTAGGAGGGTTCGTTGGACACTTTAGAGAGGGTGAAACAAATGGGATAAACAAGCGAGTCTACAGCAACGCCGGAGTCGAGAGGGGGCTTCCTGTGACTGGGCCGCTTTTTTGTTTTGGGCGCACTGGAAGAATTGTTTTGCGACATTGTACAGATATTGCAACGGGGATGAAGACGCCGGTCTCGCGTGAGATGTTTGCAGACTGCTTTGACGGGCGGACTTGTCGACGGTAGAATTGATGAAGCACGGGAAGCATCATTTTTGTATACAACCAAGCTCGTAAATGGACCTGGCTGGGATGGTTAAAATATGAATACAGTATGATTACCATGGCCTGTAAGCCACAAGAGCATCAGTTACCTCACTCCTAGACCATGTTGCAATAATAAATTTTGGGGTTGAGAAAATGGGAATGAAGGCACACTTGTGCATTTGCTAGGGTCGTGCAAACCTCTAAGCTGCCATATGGTAACTATCAGTTCGTATCATATCGTGCCGAGTCACTCGACATCGCGGCACAGCGACACCGGAGGGAGATCCCTTATCGATAAGCGGGCATCCAATGTCAACGACAGTCCGAGAATCCCCCCCCCAGCGGCCACCTCAATCCAAACATCCGCCAACATCTGTCGCCGTTTGCGATTGCTCAACTTCCGAGAATTTGTCATCTGAAAGATTGTAAAGGAGCTCCAGGGGGAAAAAAAAGGGCATGGCCATGAGGCTTCCTGTTCGGCAACTCGCCCTGAGGACGAGGACATGGGCCGCCTCCCCGAGCACGCGGCGCTGTACGTCAACGGCGTCGAACCTCTCCGACGCCGTGAAGAAGACCATCACCGTGAGTCTAAATAGGTCCCTACAAGTCGATTGTTCTTCCCGGACGCTAACGGGGGTTTTGTCGCAGAGGGACGCAGAGCTCCCCAATCCCGACCCGGGCGCCGACTCGCCCTCGGCGGCGCTCGTCGGCGAACACGCGCCGTACATGGTGGCCACGTATGCGCGGCCGCCGCCCGTGTTCGTCCAGGGAGAGGGCTCGTGGCTGTGGGACATTGAGAACAGGAAGTATCTCGACTTCACGGCCGGCATAGCCGTCACGTCGCTGGGCCACGGCGATGCTGAGTTTACCCGGCTTCTGACGCAGCAGGTTTGTCCCCCCTTTTTCTTTGGTATACCCGAGGCGGTGTCGTGTGTAATTGACGAGTCCTTGTTCCCCTTTTCCGGGCATGCAGGCCAAGACGCTTATCCACGCCTCAAACTTATACTACAACCCGTGGACGGGGGCGCTGTCCAAGCTCCTTGTTGAAAGGACGCTGTCGTCGGGAGGCATGCACGACGCCTCGAGGGTGTTTGTGTGCAACTCGGGCAGCGAGGCCAACGAGGCGGCGATCAAGTTCGCCCGCAAGACGGGCAAGGTGGTCGACCCGTCGGGCGGCAAGGTCGAGGTCGTGTCGTTTAATAACGCCTTTCACGGGCGCACAATGGGCGCGCTGTCGGCGACGCACAACCCCAAGTACCAGAAGCCGTTTTCGCCCATGGTCCCGGGCTTCGTGCAGGGCGTGTACAACGACGTCGGTGGCATCAGGGACCTGGTTACGGAGAGGACGTGCGGCGTCATTGTTGAGCCGATCCAGGGCGAGGGCGGCGTCATGACCGCCTCGGAGGAGTTCCTCGTTGCGCTGGCCAAGAGGTGTCGCGAGGTGGGAGCGGTGCTCATCTACGACGAGATTCAGTGCGGTATGGGGAGGACGGGCAGCCTCTGGGCGCATGGGAGCCTGCCCAGGGACGCGCACCCGGATATTATTACCAGCGCCAAGGCCCTGGGCAACGGGTTCCCGATCGGTGCGGTTGTGGTCAACGACTTTGTGAGCGACAAGATCAAGGTTGGCGACCACGGCACTACGTTTGGCGGGAACCCCTTGGCGTGTCGGCTGGCGCATTACCTCGTCGAGAGGCTTTCTGACCCGGCACTACAGCAGGGGGTTCTTGAAAAGTCGAAGCTGTTCAAGGATGGGTTTGCCAAGTTGAAGGAGCGGTTCCCGGAGTTGATTACGGAAGTTAGGGGCCGCGGACTGATACTGGGCCTGCAGCTGACGGAGGATCCTAGTGCTATTGTCAAGGCGGCGAGGGAGAGGGGTTTGTTGGTCATTACGGCGGGAACGAATACTTTGCGTTTTGTGCCAAGCTTGGTGGTTGCGGATGAGGAGATCGCGCAGGGCTTACAGATTCTGGAGGATGCGATTGCTGCGACGAGGTAGCATTGTGCGTCACAGATAGGCTGGCGTTTTGCTATGTGGAAAAGAGGTATAGCGGTATATATACAATTGCCTTCTGACTGGCACGTCCTATTACGAGCCCCCTTGACTACTGACTCTGGATAAAGGCGCTCGTGAACAATCACACGTGTTTGCAGTCATTTGAATGCGTAAACTGGCTTTGCATTTCATAAACATGCTGATATATTGTGGCGTCTCTTCACGGCAGGGGTATCTTTGCCGAAGAGCGAATCTAAATATTGCTTCAATGACATGGCAAGTCAAATTAATTCATTTTCATCGTGTGAAAAGTACTGCCGATTAACAAGCTGCATGGGTCTTGCCAGTCTTGCCCTGAAGGGAGTGGTCCTCATCCTGCAAATTGTCAGCAACGATTCATATGAAAGTAGACAAAATGATGAGACATACTTTGAAATGCTGAGGATTGTGAATAGATTCTTGAGCTCGTCCAGAGGACGTCAAATGGGTTCTGATGTACTCCTCCTGTCGCTTGACCGTCTCTCGATCCATCTCCTCCAACATGCCGAGGCAGAGCTTGATATCGTTAATCAGGACATCGCATCTGCTGCGGGAAAAGTCTTCGCGAACAACAACACGCAGCATCTTCATCTTGTTGGTGTTAGGCGCCATGGTGTATGCGGGAACAACCCATCCTCGGGATCGGAGTTGATGAGCCAGGGCAAATTCGTCGTAGTGGCGGTCTTCGCGACCGCCTTCATTAGGTCCTGGAAAGCGAAAAGCGACAAGCGGTAGGCCCTCTCCGGAACGCTTAGACATGATGATAAAACCGAGCTTCTCGAGGGAGTTGCTAAGGTAGTCAGCTGTGCGGGTGAGGTTGCTCATAATAGCGCGGTAGCCTTGCTTGCCCAGACGTATAAGCTGGTAATACTGTCCAATGACTTGAGATGCTCCCTTGGAGAAATTTAGAGTAAAAGATGACTGCTGAGCTCCGAGGTAGTCGATGTTGAAGACGAGGTCTTGGGGGAGATATTCGGCAGCTCGCCAAATGGCCCAACCAACACCAGGGTAGACCAGACCATACTACTGATTTGTTAGAGAGCTGCAAGGAAAAAGGTTTGAGTGGCTCAGTAATATTGTATCAGCATACCTTATGGCCGGAGACGTTGATGGAGACGACCTTCTCGCATCTAAAGTCCCACTCAAGGTCAGGCACGACAAATGGAGCGACAAAGCCACCACTGGCAGCATCCACGTGGATAGGAACATTGATGTTCTTCTCAATCAACAGGTCGTTCACCGCCTTGACATCTTCATAATCACCAGTGTAAGTAGTACCTAAAATGAGAACACAGCCGATTGTGTTCTCATCACACTTGGCCACCATTTCCTCAGGATCAATGACAAAGCGTGTCGGAGTGCAGTTGATGAACTTCTCCTCAATCTCAAAATAGCGGGTAGCTTTCTCCCAGCACACCTGGACCGCGGATGACATGATGAGATTGGGGCGTTCAGTGCTTTTGCCTTCGGCCTGGCGGCGAATCTTCCAGCGGCGCTTCATCGCCAACACGGCCAGCATGATGGCCTCGGAGGAACCGACAGAGGATGTACCAATGGCACTGCCACTGGGAGCATGGAACAAATCGCCTATCATGTTGACGCATCGGTTTTGAATGTCAGCTGACTGGGGATATTCCTCGTAATCGATGAAGTTCTTGGAGAGGGAGTGAGCCATCAACCTCTCAGCCTCGTCTTCCTATTCGCCAGTCAGTATATGTCGTATGCCAGGAGTTGAGGTCTCCAACCATGTAAGTAGTGACAAAAGACGCTAGACTGCTGATGTTAGAATAATGTTGACGTACTATGCACGCTTGTAAATGCAAACATACTTGAGCTTGGGATTGTTATCCAAACTGAGATCGTCCTTGATCATTCTATAAGCAATCTCGCGGGGCATCGCACACTCTGGCATTGTGAGCTTGGGCAAGTCCTGCTCAGCGAAGCGAGAACCGTAGACGCTCGTGGTGAAGCCATCTTCCTCAGACGACAGTTTCAAAGTACTACGGGCCTTTTTAGTCAAGTGGGCAACTGTGTCCTTGGCAATGCTCGCAGCGCTGCCGCTGTCGTCCTTATTGATGGCACTGAGGTGAACCATGATGACGTGGGGTAGATCAGTGCTGGGTGATGGACAAAGGCACCAAAGGCGGACTTGAACGGAATTGAAATGGTCTCAAGAAGCCGCGCCGCGGAAGATATTAGATAGGGAAGATGGAGAAGTTTGAGGGACCAGAAAGGATTTTCAACACAATTAGAAGAGGGGAACGTGGGACATGTTATAGCTCCGGCCGTGTGCTGAACCTAGACAACCAGGAGCTTAATCACTCGACGTCAGCGATACACAGCCTGAATGTGTGTGCAGTGCGGCCTCTCTTGCAGCATATGCAGCCCGCGGCCAAGTCTAGCTTGCGTTCCTCCAGGTTCGAAACAATAAAATTGACCAATATAATGATTTGGTTCAGCACGACCAGCAGTGACCTGGCTGCGTCCATCATCCCTCTTTGTCCTGGTTCGATAGCCCCTGGTGACTAGGCCAGGGGTCACAACTGGATTTTGCTGCATCCCACCACCAAACTGTGTTGGCGCCTCGGATCTGACGGCTCACCTTGAAGTTGGGGCGGCCAAATATGGGCCTGGAACGAGGCTCGAGGTCGGCAAAGCACGATGGGGCCAGGCCAGTTAGCGGCTTGCCAGAGCGCCTTGAGGCAACAACCCGCATAAAGGTGATACTACCCAGAGCCCCGATACTTCACTAACACAACTCCCAGCCAACACTTGCTTCCTCTCCCCACTCAAGTCGCGCCAGATCACAGCCGCCCTTGCCGAGGGGTGCCACCAGGGTCCATGGGACGACGGAGTGGTGCGGACCAGCTTTTGGAAACCGAGCACCTGGGTCGGCACAATGTCCCGATTTTTCTCTTTGTCTAAACGCTTTGATTCAGATGTTTGGACGGCAAGTGTGCTCGAATCAATCCACCAGTAGTCCGCTTTTTGTCGTGGTACTTGGGGGCTGATTCGAGGAAACACTGTGCTACTGGCCGGAACCAATGCATAGGAGGTTAAATGGTTGTGAGAACCAAGGGTGACATGGCTTAGAAGCTTACATGTCATTTCCGTGAGGCACATTTTTTGCCAAGACAAAAGTGCACAGAGTATTGATGCTTGGTTGGCATTTAGGCACCAACATGGCTCAAGTGAGGTCGCGTATGGGGTCGATGGAGAGTGTAGATGGAAGGATGTTACATCCGAAGCCTCCCCCCCAGGTTTGACGGTCCAGAAAACCTGGAAGTCGTCGGCAGTCGTCTAACATGCAATTGGGCAAGAGCGACACACTTATAGCAGACTCTTATAGCTGACAACCTCGCAACCTGGCAACTACCTATGTAGGTACTTGATACCAAGAGCTTTGTCACTTGCTATTCCGTGGTTGACGATCTAGTATATTTCCCACAAATTGCTTCCAAACACCATCTACCAACACCCACACAGTCAGTCGAGCATTCTGCACGTACAATTAATTGTCCTCCCCTGTCCCTGTCAGCCCGCCTGCCAACCCCTCCATCCTTCTATCCAACAAGTCATCTGCACTGCCTAGCTTGATGAGACTCTTGTTCTTACTCAAAATCCTCTTCCTAGGTTTATTCGCATCGCCATTTCCCTTCTCCTTTGATACCATTTCCACCTTCTCTGCCCCAGAAGCATTTGAGCTCCGTCCCCTATTCAGCTTGGTCATGCTAATCTCCAATGGCTTATCTTCCTCCCCACTAGACTCTGCCAAGTGGTGTTGGTGATGTTGTCGTTGCTGACTGTGGTATGCCATCCTTTCTGTGCGCGGGGAGAGATGAGTAGGGTGTTGGTTCTTGGTGCGATGGTGCTCTGCTTCGAGGAAGAGCTGTTCGAACCAGAGAACGCACCGATCAAAGTGTTTCCAGGCAGGAGGATAAATTCCTGGGAATTGCATGAATCCGTGGGACACTCCGGGGATGAGGGCAACTTCAGCTGCTTCAGTGTCGTCAAAGGGCCGGCCTTGTTCCCTTGCTACGGCCCCTTTGGCGCGACGGAGACGGCCTGCGAAGATGACGGTGTCATCGACGAGAGGATCACGTTCGCCCGTCATGAAGTATGTTTTGGGGAACCTGGCGAGAAGGTTTTCAGGCGCGAGGACCGGACTTAAGAGATAATCCTGCGAGAAGTCAGGTCGATTATGGGGTCCGATGTAGAGGATAATCATGGCTCGCATCATTTCCGGAGTGAGGACTCGGTCGTTAAAGTAGGAAATCATTGAGGATGTTGCGAGACGAGTTTGCATCGGCTGCGAGTGGTGAGACATATTGTCCATCCTTTTGGGTCCGTTCCTCTCCTTATTTGAGGTGAAGGATTGGGGCCCAGTGTGGGAGAATTGAGGCTGGCAATCGTGAGGACTTCTGAGCGGAATAGAAACTGATTCGGGGGGAGTGATTTCGTCTTCGTCATCTGAGTGATGTGGTGTTCCCACCAGCTGGTTGTATTGCATGCTTTTGCGTCGGGCAATAGTTCTATTTGTCTTGCGCATCTTACGGTCTCTAATCAATGACATTTGCTCATCTGTCATCCAGTTTCCGATATTCATGTCCAGGGCTGGATAGAAACACACCAAACCGTCAGGAGCGGGGAGTACTCCTCGGCCAGCAAATCGCCGGAACTCACCATCACTCGTCTCGGTAATCATCAAAGTTGCGGAAACAGCAAGGTTGGCTCCAGCACTATCACCCGTGATAATAATTCGAGGCGTCTCGCGACCTGACAGGCCGATGCAACGTCCTTTTGTATTGATGATGGCGGCATACACATCGAATACCTCGTTGACGGCATAGGGATAGGGAAATTCTGGGGCCTTTTTATAGTCCAGACTAAGAATAGGCAGTCCAGACTTTGATGCCCAAGCAAGGAGCTTGTCATCGTTGCATCGAGGATCCATGGCAACAAAGCCTCCGCCGGGAATATCCAGCACAAGTCTGTTGTGAAGCAGTAAATCCGCTAGTGGCCCGTCAAAATACAACCATGCCAGGATGGGTTCCTTGTAATCACTATTCGATGGCCGGGGAATCCGAATCTGCCTTGGAGGCCATCTTGTGAATCGGGGTCGCATTAGGCGTTGTAATACACTCAAATAAGGTGTCGTGCCTTTGTTCCACGCAACGCGGAGGTGCTCGACCGTGATCATACCTCGGACTTTGCGGACTTTCTCATCCGCTCGTTCTGCCGCTACTAGGTAAAATAGAGAGAATAGAATGCTCGCCAGGTCTCTTAACCATTTGACTTTGATCTTCATCGCCGTCCAAAATCCAGCGTCCAGAGCGGTTAGGACCCAAGTTGCGCGGAAGTAAGTCGTGTCGTACATGTTGGCCATGGGCTCAGGGCTGGCCAGGCCAACAAGAGCGCTGAAATTTCGAGCAGCATAGAGATAGATGATTGTCAGGGCAGAGATTTGCCACGCCGTAAGGCGCTTGGTGAAGAATTTAGAAAGTGACTGGGCCCCGGGCGGTCCATGTTTGTGTCCTCTAGGATGACGTTAGTCTCGAATGCCGTGTACATGATGGGTTGTCGCTACCGCATATACCTATACAAATAAAGCGACCATAGAGATAAAACGGCCAGGACCTGAAGTCGCCTTGACTTTGACGACGGCCGCCCTAATACGTGGTCTATCATGGCTGATTGTTAATACAGGTGATTGTGTAGGGTAGGGTTTTGCCGTCTCAGGCTCTGACATGTGAAAGTCGACGGCAGCACAGAGTATTGGTTGTATCAGCCAGTAGCGACCCAGCTCATGGTGTCAGATAAACCGCTACCGCAATGTAAATGTTCAATTAGTACAATGGAGAAACGCAACAGACGAAGGCATAAATGCGAGAGAGAGAAACAAATGCGTCGGTGGCGTCTCGAGTTCAGACCCGAGACAATGGGTCAAAGGGTGTCAATGGAACAGGAGTAACCCTTCTCTGGCGACGTCTGGGGATGCATCAAACATATATTCCTCGGGAGAAAAGACAATCTGGACAGCCCCAGAAAGAGACACGAGTTGACCATGCAATGTAGGAAAAGTCGGTGGCAGGTTATTCTATGGTTATTTTGCATGCATAGTCTGGCCCGTGAAGGGGCTCGTGACAGTTTTTCGAACAGATGCAGACGAGTGCAAAGGAAGGCGCTGTGGTGGGCTGCTGACGTTTGTCCAGGACTGGCATGTGAAAGTTGCGCTCGTGCCGGTCTGAGCTGGATGTTGCCGCAAGTTCGTGGGGAAGGTACAAGGGAGACTTGGCCAATCAAGTCAATTGTAATGAGTGGTCAGTCCTTTTATCACGGGGTATCAAAACATGGGCTCAACGTTACGTAAGGTATGTAGCCTTGTCGCAATCTAAGGTTTCCTGAGCCAGATGCTGCATCACAGATTACCGTACTTGAGGAACAAATTGAAATGCACGCAGGCGACCCTTCAACTGGACAGGGCAAATTCTCAAGGAACTACGGAGACAATGTAGCAATACCTACACTCCGTACAGAGGGTGCAGATCTGGGGTGCCCCCTGTGCCCCTCCAGTCCTACATTCCAACATGGCACGCTGCAGCCCCTCCCCCGTGCGGAGACAGCCACATGCTCGAAGTGGCAGGATGACAACACTGGGCATAATGAAATGCTTCATGCACAATTAATACCAGCAATTTTTTTTCCCTGCCTTTTTCAATTTTTCCTTTCTTTTCTTCTTCTTTTTTTTTTTTAGTCTCCTCTTCTTTCTTGACTTACCTCGCTTAGACTCGGCTGCGAGAAGCAAATAGACCAAGCTATGGGTGGTGACACACTCACGTAGTAGTATCACACGAGATCTGGCAACATGTACTCCGCAATTCCAGAGAGTACTCCGTACTATTCTAAAAATGCAGCCGAGTTTTAAAAAAGGGAGAAAAAATAGTAAAAAAAGGACGACTCTCCTGACATAAATATACGCCGTTAAATAAACCCATCTTCGTTCGTGTTCAAAAGCAAAAGACGCGACATCCTCCATATCGGCCATGAAGGCAGCTTCTTCAATATGCAATGTGGGTGGCGGCGGTTCGTCAAGGTCCGTTTCCGATCCGACCAACCGGCCAATTTGGGGACAAGACAGGACGCACACGCACATGTACACTGAACCCCGTACATAGAAATCGTCACGTCTCCTCACTTCTACCCTCCACCATTTCCCAACCATCATTTTCCCTCCTTTTCATTCCCATCTCATCTTCTCCAAAGGTGCGCGATTTGCATACCCAATGCCTTATTCCTCCGTCTGCAGCTAACAACTGCACTTGTCTAATACGCTCTGCCAAAGTTGCCAGAGCATGTCTACGGCGCAGGGAGGGGGACCCGAACCCCAGGCGATGCAGGCGATGCTGGCGCCGGCTCTGGCCGTCCATACCCCCGAACAAGCTGCGGCAGAATCCAGCTCGCGAGCAACTGTGCGCGAAACCACCATACCGACGAGCATCGATTTGTCCCGAGATGGCGCTTCAGAATCAAGCGACGAGGGAGATCAAGGCGTTCGGATGAGCCCCGCTGCGGCAAGACGCTTTGCTCGTCGCAACTTGAGGCGGACCGCCGCCACGCCAGATCTTGTCACCAGTCTGGTCAGACCACCATCCCCCGAAGCCTTTTATATTGCCCAAGATGCCCGTGGTCATCCTCGACAGCGTGCAATATCGCGTCCGGCTGCCATGTTATCACAACCATACGGGCGACGACATTCAAATGCTGGTCCCGACCGCAGGACTGGCCCTCTGTTACCCCCTCACCCATCCTCTCTCGACATACCCAACAAGTATGGTGGCAACTGCATTTTCGACATGCACACGCTGACCTATGTCTCTGACCCTGATCCGAATCTGCTGTGTCCCATATGTCACGACCCGCTCGTCGACCCCGTCACCACACCGTGCGACCACACATTCTGCTACAGGTGTTTGCGACGGAGTATAGCGTCAAGCCCTTCAGGAACAGCCTGCCCCATTGACCGCGAGCTCTTGCTGTGGGTGGACTGTTTCAGTGCGGCTAGGCTTGTTCGCACACAGCTCAATTGCTTGATGGTCAAATGCCCCAACCAAGGGCGAGGCTGTGAAAGTGAACTGCGGCGTGAAAATGTTGAAAAGCACGCGACAACCGAATGCCGCTTCCGGGAATTTACATGCCCCGATACTGCGTGTGATAAGAAGCTACGGGACAAGCCCAAGGATGATAAATGCCATCACAGGAAAGTAGGCTGCGCCTTATGCCAAGATCAGGTAGAAGAAGCGGACAAAGAGATGCATCTACTCTCGTGCTCACAGGCCAAGACGAGATGCCAATCCTGCTGGCAGCTGGTTTGCCGGTCACAGATGAAATCACATCACGATGTGGAGTGCGACGGGGTAGAGGTTGGCTGTCCCTACAAAGACCTGGGGTGTCCAGTCAGGACAATACGAGGAGAAATTGGGGGGCATTCATTCACATGCGCTTTCCATCCGGACACGCCATCGGGAGTTGTTATTCGTAACCAACGGGAAATTATTCAGTCGTACGGCGATCTAGGAAGCCAGCTTCGAGACATGCAACTTCGCCAAGACGAAACCGCCAAGCGCATTGACGACATGTTGGCGAATCGACGGACAAACGGCGAGGGGGGAAGCCGCAACGACGCCGTGTACAGCGACAACAGAACCATGCAGGATCTGGATGCTGGCTTTGAAGAAGTCCATCAAAACTTGACCCACCTCGAGGCTAGGCAGAGTATGTGGACGCTGAACCAGGTTATGCCCATACGCGAGGAGGTGACGGAGCTACGAAACAACATCAATATGATCCGCATGCATGTGAACTGGCTGCTGAATCGGAGTCGCGAGGAGGGCCGCATCAGAGCCGCGAATAACACGGGGCCAACAGCGGGGATTCGCCGTGACAGCTCTGGCGATGCACCGCCTATTCTGTCAGAGAGACGGAGGTCGTCTAGTGCTGATATGGATGTGCCCCGCTTGTGATGTGTGTCGGAACTGTGACTGCACCGATGGAGAGCTGTATAATGATGTAATGGGTGCCCTGAGCACGACTCTGGCAGGTTGGGGAGCATAAAATGGAGTATGATGTACGGGTATTAGAACATGCATAAGCGTGATTGATATTTGGCGTGAAAATGGGAACGAGGCTAGACAGACAAGTCAATACATATAAATATACATATATAATATATACGTGGGCTAGAAACAATACCATGAGGGGAAATAGGAATTAGAGTGGCGGTGAAATATCAGGAATTTGTGCTGGATGCTGAGCGACATGGCGGGAAGCATGTCTTTACCTTGGATCAAACCCTGCGGGTGGCCAATGGCCGTCATGGGGTCGGCGTAAATTAAGGTAAGGTCTACGCAAGGTAGATAGGATCGAAGAAGAAAATGGATTTCGCCAACAATTGGCAGTGGCCGAGTTGACAGGAATGAAAGCATGTTGGTTAAACTCCGAGCGGACTTTGGCTGTCCGCGAACGAGGACACATCTGGCGCGGAGTTTTTCATCTTGGGATAAGTTCTGTTACGTCCACTAATACTCAGTTAACATCTTTCTGCCCTTTCTCTCTATCTTCATATCCCTTGTTGAAGTCGACAGAGTTCGTCCTGGAACCCGTCCAGTGTTTATATTTGGAGGTGGCTTTACACGTTGTTGGCATCAACTGACGGCTCAGCCGAAGGTGCACATACGGCGCTGTAGACGGTGGACGCAGCAGTCACTGGTGTCTAGTGGCGAGCACTGGTCATGGAAGCGTCAACCCTGGAGGAACCCTGGAAGCGCCCTGGAAGCACGAGTTTTGGAACACCAGACCTCAGGCTACTCTTCAGCACGCGACATCCAGTCTGGACTCCCCGGGCCGTCAACCGGGTGCTCATGTGTCCTCGTCATTGACCAGACTTGGTTCTTCACCGACATCAAGCATCACACTGAATCACGGCTCCTTCTTTGTTTGCGGAATCATATTGGCCACGGGCGGACCTACAGTGGACAACCTGTCAGCCAGGGCGGGGCTCTTTCGGATTCCATAATCATCGGTGCTCCATCGACGTCAGCCTTGCCGTCTGCTTTCAGATCCCCAGTCCTCGAGTTGCTTGCAACTTGCAACTCTCTTACCCACACCTCATCCATCTTTCCTTCGCACACGGAGAGCATTGGACGTCGTCCATCATGGATCCCAACGACCGACCCCCTCCCAGCGGGCCTGACGATGCCCCAGACAGAGACCACGCAAGTCTTCACCTACCTACTCCATGCTTGCGATGTCGGTGCTTGGAGATGACGAATCACCGACCCTAGCTTGATGGTTTACATGACATCCTAGCTAACCGTGCATGTAGATGCGGGCGCGTCGTATTGCCATGCTGGGCAATATAGCACGCAAGCCCAGCGAAGACAAGACCGACAACCCTTCGAATCAACCCGTATCATCGTCGACATCCACGCCGAAACCCCAGACCTCCGAAGCCCTTACCCCCAAACCGAAGATCAACGTCACCCCGGCCGCAACAACACAGTCGAACCCGAACCCTTTTGCACAACTTGGTGTACAGAACACCAAGATAGCGGGAGATGAATCCGCCGCCATAGGTAGTTCCCGTCCTGCCCGCAAACGGCCCGCGCCTGATGTTGACGACGCCGATTCAGCATCGCCCGCCCATAAACCAACTCCACAGCCAGTACAGCAGCAAAAGCCGGAGACGGATGAGGACTATGCACATCGGGTGCTGTCACAAGTCTTCCGCGTTTCTGTTGATCCGCACCATATGACAACCCCCCAGGGCCAGCGTCTGATCTTTCTACCGAGCTTGAACCAAGAGCTGAACGATTCTGGCGATTCCCTGAAGTTATCCATTGGTAACCTGGACCAGGCCATAATAGAGGCCTGTAGCAGTTGGCCACTGACCAAACCCCTTCTAGAGTATCTGCTGCCGTGTTGGAAACGAGTGGTTAAAGCGTCTAGTACTGCCAGGAATGTTTCGGCTCCGAGACAAGAAATTCTTGACGAGGCCAAGCGGCTTTGCATGAGCAACTGTCTATTCGCTTTGACAATGCCAGCTCTTTATGGGTTCGTTCATGAAGACATACAGAAAGTGGCTACTATGGATTATGCTTTAGACTGACAATGTGTAGTCGTGACCCGAACCCTCAGCATGATACGCTTGTGCCTTACTTGCTAAAGGGCATTCAAGACGATGCTGGTCTTTGTTTTGACTTCATTAGAGAAGCTATCAAACGATTTGACGAAGATGAGGCATTCCCTGCCCTATTCAATGATGCCATGATCGAAATTAGCAGCCAACTGTCTACCCTGTCTCTTGGGGACGAGTACAAACCCCACGTCCAGGTTGGTTGTTTCTACGACCAGCAATAACAGACGCCTCGGCTAACCAATCCCTTTGTATGTATCTAGGCGCTTCTCACATATACGCGATTCCCAGTGCTTATTGCCAACCTCGCCCAACACCCGTCCTTCAACATGGCACAATCTGCTGCTGGCATTGAGCGACATACCATTCTCGGCCCTTTCTTTCGTATTTCCCCCCTTCAACCTGAGGCAATCAAAAGTTACTTCCCCGGAGCCCGATCTCTCGATAGAGTTAGAATTGCCAACGCCCAAGAATCATTACGAATTGTTCTGAGAGCACACCAAGATGACCTGTTCGTCATCGCAAATGCTTTTATTCGTGCCGGTCCGGATACGAGAAGCAGGACGCTCAACTGGTTCGCATACATTGTGAATATGAACCACAAGAGAAGAGCTCTGCAGGTTGACCCTAGGGAAGTTGCCTCGGACGGTTTTATGCTCAATGTGACCACCATCATGGACCGATTTTGCGAACCTTTCATGGATAACGACTTTAGTAAGGTGGATAAGATCGATGTGCGCTACTTCAAGAGACAGCCCCGAGTCGACATCAAAGATGAGACTAAATTGAACGCGGACCAAGCTACAGCCGACGAGTATTACTCCAAGAAGGTCGAAGGGGATTCAAACTTCATCTCGGAAGCCTTCTTCCTGACCCTCGCCGCCCACCATTATGGAAGCGAGGCATTAAATTCACAGCTTAAGAACCTTGATCGTGAAATCAAGTACCTGGACAAACATATCAAGGCTATGGAAGCTGAACGTCCTAAGCTCGCCAATTCACCCCATCAACTTCGATTATTCGAAGAAACCTTGAAACGACACACAAATGTTTTGGAGAAGACGATTGCTCTGAAGCATGCCATTGAGGGCGCTTTGCTTGATGAGCGAATGCAAAGCACGTCACTTCGCTTCATGCGTTACGTTGCTGCATGGCTATTGCGACTCGTCACTGGCTCGGATTACAAACCCGGTCAAGAGACTGAAATGATCAGGTACGTCGAGTGAAATAGTTCAACTTTTCAGCATGCATGCTCATGAGACATCAGGCTACCCCTGTCTTCTGAAAACTCAGAGGCATTTGCTTGTCTTCCGGAATATACCCTACAAAACATTGTAGACAATTTCAAGTTTATCTTCAGGTTGGCTTCATCAAATTTCTTCGGATATGCCAGGCCATTTGCTGATATACTTGCACAGATTCCTTCCAAAAATTATTCCCAGTGCTGTTGGCGACGAAATGATTGCTCTATGCATCACTTTCCTGCGATCATCTGAATTCATCAAGAACCCATATCTTAAATCCTCGTTGGTCTCACTACTATATTCCGGAACGTGGCCATTTATGCACTTGAAGAAGGGAGTCTTTGGCGATCAGCTTATGGCGCTGCCTTTTGCCAATGAATACCTCTTGCATGCCCTGATGAAGTTCTATATAGAATGCGAATCTACCGGTGCCAACACTGCTTTTTATGACAAGTTCAACATTCGATACGAAATCTTCCAGGTCATTAAATGTGTCTGGAGCAATGATGTCTACAAGCAGCAGTTGACACGGGAAAGCAAGTAAGTCAATCAATTCAAGAGTGACGCAAATGTGCTAGTTGGAACGCACTAACAACTATCTAGGACCAACCGTGACTTTTTTGTTCAGTTTGTGAACATGCTGCTCAATGACGCTACATATGTCCTGGATGAAGCTTTTACAAAGTTCCCCAAGATCAGAAGCCTAGAGCGAGAGCTGGAAGACACTTCTCTTTCAGCCGAAGATCGGCAGAAGAAGGAGGAAGAATTGCAAACACTTGGTGGACAAGCCACCTCGTACATGCAGTTGGCGAACGAAACGCTAGAGATGATGAAGCTGTTTACCAAGGCCTTGAGCGAGTCGTTCATTATGCCCGAAATCGTTTCCCGCCTAGCAAGCATGTTAAACTACAACTTGGAGACGCTGGCTGGCAAAAAGGCTGCTGCAGAGTTGTCCGTTTCGAACAAGGACAAGTATCATTTCCGCCCTATCCAGCTCATTTCCGACTTTGTCGACATTTATCTCCACCTGGGCTACTCACCAGTATTCGTGGACGCTGTCGCTGCGGACGGTCGATCCTATAAACCCGAGGTCCTCGACCGTGTGACTCGCATCTTGTCGTCCAAAAACGCAAAGGCTCCCGCCGATCTGGCACAATGGGAAAAGGTAAAGGCAAAATTCGAAGTGGCGAAACACGAATTGGACCAGGCTGAACTCGACCTGGGCGATATCCCAGCAGAGTTTGAGGATCCCATCATGGGTGACTTGATGAAGGACCCGGTGCTCCTGCCCAGTCGACATATTGTCGACAGATCAACCATTGTGCAGCATTTATTGAGCGATGCCAAGGATCCGTTTACACGGCAGCCTATGACGATTGATGATGCTATTCCACAGACGGAGTTGAAGGAGAGCATTTTCAAATGGAGAGAGGAGAGGGTGAAGATTGCGAAGGAGCAGGCTCTTGGATTAAAGGGCGACCAAATGGATACCACGGAGGGTTAGTTATAGACTTATTTAGACGATTGTTATTGTTGACATGGGGTATGATTCACGCCCGTAATTTGATTGTTCTGGTCATCCTGGCCCGTCTGATGTTGCTCATGCCGTGGAACAAGGACCCTTTGGCGGTGGGTTGTGTTCCTCGAATGAATACCTCCAAGTGATTTTTTTTTGTTTCAGACCATACGGAGGAGGTGTTTGATATGCATTACACAATATTAATACTCGCGTGCGTGCATAGCCCGTCCTGCCGGTAGCCAAAGCTCACGGGGCGCAACATCTGTATATGTTCTTGTGGAAAGACGCGCAGGGCAGCATGGGAGGATCGAGGCAGCCACACCTGATGGCTGCTAGTCTAAATGCTCTCTTTTCGTGATGGTCCGGCAAGATGGGCTGCCTGTTCTTTTTTTTTTTTTATGAATCAATGTCATGTCCCGATCTCTATGTCAGTTGCGTCTGGTCTGTCTGGCCTCCACGGCTTATCCTACATGTTGTGCCGGGTAGGTCCCCCCTTTGCATAGTTTTTATCAATCTAGCAATTTTTTATTATTTTTTTTAATTTTTTTTTTTAATTTTTAATTTTTAATTTTTTTTTTTTTTTTTTTTTTTTTTTTTTTTTTTTTTGGGTGACGGGACGGGCTGGTTGTCAGGCACTTTTGAATTCGGCTTCATATGTTTCGTTTTCTGAATGGGCTTGCTTTTAGCCGGTATCCGGAGTCTGTTCGGTTTTTTTTCCTTTGGTTGGTTTTAGCTTCGGCGGAAAGAATGACGGATCTGCATCGCCTCCGTGTTGGGGATTGTAATCATGCCAAGTTCGGATTTAGATTTATTTACTCCGTACGAGGTGCCCCTTATCCATCGCGCGTCAATGTACGGGTGAATCTTTACCCATATCTGATCGTTTGTCGTTTGTTCTCTGAATTACTATTGGACAACTTATCTACTTGACGGTCCATCCAAGACCTCTCGGGCTTCGCCCCGCGCAGTCCGCTTCCCCCAGATAAGCTGGCTCTGTTCGCTACTGAATGCGTAGAATTGAGAAAGTCTGTCTGGGAATACATCAGCTGCAGTTGCAAATACCAGAAAGCACTCGGGTGAACCAATCATACGTCCATTCCTGAAGGCCTGGTTGTGTTCGTATTGTACGGCATTCTCCGCATGGTGTTCCACGTCGGTCCCCCATGATGATGCTCCTGGCCGTAACGGCAGTCGGACTTCGGAACCCCCCGAGACCATCAATCGTCAACGGCCTGCGGACCACTTGCAAGCAACCGCCTCGACATCTGAGTTATGTCAGAGTTTCACACTTTCGGCCCTCGTGTCGAGAATGTTCAAACCCATTGACCAGCAGACTGTCGGTGTTGCCTCGGTTGACGTGAACAGCAAACCGTGGTGTCATAGGCCAAGCGCCTACGACGCTCATCAACTTTCCCGTCCGCTTTGCCCACATTCGCCATAGTAGAGGAGGCGGGCTGGCCGTCATGCAAGCCATGGCAAGCCATCTTGTCATCGCTACGCTGTTGTCCGCCACCTGGCGCCTGTCAGTGTAGCCGATGGAGGCCGGATGTTTCCATGGGCAAAGATGATGGGTCTGAAGAAAAATCCCAGGCTGTTCGAGAATTGAAAAAGATGCTTGCCCGTGCAAAGGGGGCGTGGCAGAACTGGGAAGTATGTAAGCTACTTCGTGTTGTAAATATAAAGGCAGAAGACGCCGCCGCCTTTGAAAGAGACAATCTTCCAGCGTATAATTCAGAAGAAGAGCGTTTACCCCGGATTGCCAGGGCTTCCCAGTCAGCAAAGTGGGTTGTTCGTTTCCTTGGCCATTGAGCCAGGCTATTCAAAGCTCCCCCATAAACGTTGAGCGTCATCACCGTCTCTCTTCAAACAATTTGGTCTGCTCGTAAACCTTCTCTTCATCTTGAAGCCCCGCCTGGTGTGGCAATTAGCGCGCGGCCCAACTGAGTGAGTGTGGCGGGGAAGGAAGGGCATTGCAACCGGAACGAGGAGTTTCGTGGCTTACGTTGGCCGACATGACAGGCATAGTACTCCGGAATACGGAGTATGTATGTCCAAGAAGCATGCAGGAGTGTGTCACCATCCTTGCGGAATTGCAGACCGAGCGAGATGGGGTGTTTTGGGGGGTAGGGTTCCATTATGGCCGAATGCTGCTCATTCGCAAGGGTAGCATGGGCCTCGGGAACTCAACTCGGTTCAACATTTGTCGATTCCCAGGAGAGGCGGAGGGTGTGATGCTGAATGACTTCCTTCCGATGGCATGCTTGTGGAATTTGGGGGTCCGAAGCTCAAGCTCACGGCCCAACTGAACACAAGCTCAAATGCCAAGCAACCATCCGTGTCTATTTTGGCGCCCTCCCTGGCTTGATGATAGTCTCGGCGGCAAGCCACGTCGAACCCCAAGACCGCAAGGTCAACTAGTCCGTCCTGTCCATCCAATTGCCCCTTGTGTGCTAATCGCTTCGCCCCCGCCGTGTCGAAACCGCCCGGCCCGTTGGCTGAACGCGTGGCCACCAGAAGATGTCACAAGTTGCCTCAAGCTGTCGATGGACGGTTACGCATCTCTCTCTCCCACTGGTCCAGCGGGTAATATGACTGAAGCACAACCAACACCCGAGTCTGATTTGTGCAAGTACGAGCTTGTCAACCATCCGAGAACAGCTTTTGTCCCAGACGGGAAACATATCCCGCTTCGTAACAAGGGTGCTTCCCCCCCTTTGGGGAGGTGTTGGCAACGGCCACTCGCCGTCTAGAGCCCAGGACAGAGCCTCCCGGCCTTATTCCAACGTCAACGTCACCGAAGCTGCACAACGAGGCTCTCGGAAACACCCGCTTGCTGCCACTCCCACAAGGCACGAGGACAATCCCCGGCCATGGTTACTTTCTGCTGGTGCGGGGTGGGGAGGAGAAATACTAATAGTACTACAGAACTTTCGTCACCGCCGCCGCCGCCGCCGCCACAACGACGGAGAGGAGGAGATGAGAGAAGTCTCATCAAGTGTTGTAGAATTTCAGAGAATGGACACATGTCCGCTGGGCGGAGATTTATATGGGCTCGACAAAGCCGGTATGACAATGCCTCTGGTAGTTGGTCATGCCAAAGCCAGGTCCACGCTGATACTGTCGTACTCCGTAAACTCACAGATATATTTTGGGCCGTGGCTTTGCCGCATATCGGCTTCGGCTCACAACTCATCCGTATCCAACCCCGTGGCAGCAAGCACGAGAATAGGGCAACTGAAGCAGCTGCAAGGATGCTGTAACCAGCTGAGTCGGCAGCACCAAGCGCTTCACACAGCAAACTGGCACCGCATTCATGTGTACGGAGTCCCGAGTGCCAGTACCCAAGACTATGGGGAGGCGGGGTGTCAGTGTCTGTTTTGTGATTTGCTATTGGCATCTTCCAACAGGCTCGGGAAGCTCACGCAGCTTTGAACATGAGCCATTCCCATATCGTAGGTGCCGCCATCATAGCCCCCATCCCGCCGGCACACTCGTCTCAGGACCCTTCACCCAAGACTCCGGAAGGCTGGTTATTATCAACCAATGCCCTGCCATGGCGCCACCATTTAGCTCTGCTGGCTGGCTTTCGCACCCGCTGTGGATGGCTGTACTCAAGCCACCAATCTAGTATATCTGTGGGTAGCTTTGTATCCGACGGACGGCGCAAACGGCGCAAACGGCGCAACCCGGGGACTAGGTTGGCTGACAACCAACGTGATCATCAGTCTGTGTGTCCAATGCTGTTAGCGCAAAAACGGCCCTGAGATTGGCTTTCGGGAAAAATTACCCGGTACTGGTATAGTGTGAAATGAGCCGACCTATTGTCCATGTGTTGTGAGCAGAGAGAAGACTCGATATGCGGGCGGCCAAAGTGGACGTGAAAGAGACAGCAGCTTAAGCTTCGCTTCAGTTAAGCACTCGATTATATCCATGGAGTTGTCCATGTAAGTTGAGAGAGGTCCGGGTCCATCAGCCAAGCGCGTACCACAACAGCCCAAACAGGCTTTGTTGAGTGATGCAAGGTTGCCGGGGGGGGGGGGGCTCACTGGCAAAT